GCTCTTCTAATTGTGCTGTTATTCTCACTTAAGATGAAGGCTTACAGGACAAAATAGTCTCCCATTTAACAGTTACTACACATGTTGCCCTATGGCAATGCCTTGACCCATTTTGAATTGGTTTTTGTGTATGGTGTGAGGCCTTACGAGAATAAAAAGGTACAGATCAGTCTAACAGAAGGGTATAATTGGGCAACTAAATGCCCCGTCTCTATTTTTTATAATTACTACTTAACCAAATCATATTTATTTATCAAGCCTATACCTCCAAGTAGCATCGAGCTGTGCTTTCAATGAACAAGTGAAAACATAAATCATTGCCTTATGTAGACGATGTAAATTTAAACATCCTTTAATCTGGATGTCAGTCATCGCACTGTAACTTTACAGCTGTTTCTTTAACACAGGTGAAATACTTTGGCCGTGATCCAGCTGATGGAAGAATGAGGCTTTCTCGTAAAGTACTTCAGTCTCCTGCTACAGCAGTTGTCAGAACGCTCAGTGACAGAAGCAGTATTGTCATGGGGGAGCCTGTTTCACAATCATCATCTAATTCTTCTTCCTCGTGATCTTTTAAGAGAATTCTAGGGTGATAATCTACAGAGCAAAATTTCAGGAGTATCTTCCAATGTGTAGATTTATATATAGTATAAATATATTCCACTTACCTGTCCTAAAATACTCATTTATGCGTGCCATTTTTTTATTTCAAAGAGTAACTTATATTCTCTTAACTTACATTATAAATCAATAAATATTTTTTATTAAAAGTAAATGTTTGTACATCTTAAGAAAGAATACCCTTTAGTACCCTGTCTGAAAAACTGAACAACAGATCACATTTGCTGCTCTGAGTTCCCTCTGTCTACGTACCTTATTTCTCCTCTTTACATACAGCAGGGACAGCTTTCCCGTGGGCCTCTGACAGCTCCCCTCTTTGCCCAACAGCTTTACCTACATGCAAATATGTCACAAACTGGAACTTGCCTTTTTTGTTGTTTTTCTTTTTGAGTTCTACCACTGAATCACCTATGCCTGGCACATAGTAGGTGCTCAAAAATGTGTATTTAGTTCCTAGATACTCTGAACCATGATTATGCACAATAATCATAGAACCTGGGTAAGACCCAGAACTTTCCAAAGTAACAAGGATGTCAGGGATTCTCTGCTCCTGCACTAAACAGATGGAATGTGCCATTTCAAAGCTAGTGCCTGGTTTCTTCAGAAGAGGTATCAGATATAATAAGGAGTTGAGGGAGCTAGTGTGACCTGTTTTTAATGATATGATGCCTTTCAAATTGGTCACAAAAGATAAACATAGTGGAGTAAATATTATAAACCAAAAAACCAAACCCACCGTCGTTGAGTCGATTCTGACTCATAGCGACCCTACAGGACAGAGTAGAACTTGCCCCATAGGGTTTCCAAGGCTGTAAACCTTTACAGGAGCAGATTGCCGCATCTTTCTCCCGAAATATTATAAATGGGACCCCCAATAGGATGAGATGGTAATTTTTTTTTAATTTGCCTAACTATGTGAAGGAATCATTTACTCATCAAATAGGAACTGTGTCATTTTCTTGAGTATGTTTACGTTGCTAGTGTATGGATCTCCTAGGGAAGGAATGGGACTGGTAAGCAGAGAGGAATCATGATTTTCAGTTAATACACAGATGTTTGAAACAGTCATGTACAGAGATTGTTGGTATAATTATTAGTGGTATCTGTAAGGTGTTCATGCCCATTATTTAAAATATCACATCATATCCTGAAAAAAGTAAATGGCACGTAAAGGCCATAATTTAGAAATGTGTAATCCTCTTACAAATCTGATAAAATATTTGTAAATTTAAGACTCAGGGTTAACTAGTTTATAAAATACTAAAAACTTATCTGGCCGAAGCAAAGGTTTTTAAGATGTATTTAACGATAATGTGTGCTGATTACTTATCTCTTATGTGTAAAATAGCACATTAGGCAATGTTGATACACGCTCTGAAATATGGAAGATAATTATTTATATTTAATTGCATATAATTTGAAAATGAACAATTAAATTTAAACTATTTACTTAGTATATTTGATAGACTGTTCTGTTTAATAATAGTCATCAAAAAAAAATCTTTATCCTCACTTTTGCCTTCTATTTCAGATACAATCCTTAATGGTGGAGTTTCAAAATTGTGTGCTTTATGTATCTCTCAAGTTTTCCATTTGCTTTTTCATAGGGACTCACAACTGCTAATAATATAGGAAAACAAAGCCAGTCCTTAGACTACCTGTAGAAATCAGTGTTGTTGTTGGTTGCTGTCGAGTCGATTGCAACTCAGGGCTACCCCATGTGTGCAGAGTAGACCTGCTCATGGCGTTTTCAAGGCTGTGACTTCTGGAAGCAGATTGCCTGGGCTGACATTCGAGGCAGCTCTGGGTAGGTTTGAACTGCCAGCCTTGCGGTTAGTAGTCCAGCACTTAACCATCTGTGCCACCCAGGGACTCCTGTAGAAACCAGTAGTGCTAAAAAATGGAAATAAGTGTAGCTCACTAACCACCAAACCAGTAAAACACCGGTTGCCATTGAGTCAACTCCAACTCATGGCAACACCATCTATGTCAGAATAGAATTACACTCCATAGATGATGGCGGATTTTTTTCGGATGTGGATCATCAGACCTTTCTTCCAAGCCCCCTCTAGGTGAACTGGAACCTCCAGCCTTTTGATTAGCAGCTGACTGCATTAGCCGTTTGTACCACCCAGGGACTCCTTTTTTTAACCACCAAAAGGATCCCCAATTCTCCTTAAACCAGGAGCCTATACTTAATGTCTGAACTTTCCTATTTTTGTCTTCATTCAAATCTTGGTAATTTTTCCCACTTTCCAGTGACGATTTTCTGAGTGCTAGTATATGCTAAAGACGCTGATTGAATTTATAGTAATTCAAATCAAGTCAAATTAAGTGCCCATTTTTGGTAGTTAGCTCAGAGCAGGAACTTGTAAGACTTTTCCCTTCATGCTCTTTGCCATTGAAACACAGAAATTACTGTTATGCCTTTTATACAGTCATTTTTTTTTTCTTATAGAGTATCTTGAATTCCGGATCTAAGACAGTATGAACATCAGCATCTTTGTTCAGTTCAGCCAAACATAGTAGTTAGTTATTCAGTGCTTACCATGTGCCAGGCACTCTTCTGTGGGCAGAGAACAGATCAGGAAACCAAACATAAAGTTCCAACCCTTACATTTTAGTGGAAGAAACTGACAGTAAACAAGTATACAACATATCAGATAACAAAGCTTGGTAAGGGGATAGAGTGGTAAGAAAGAGTTACTATTTTAGATAAAACATTGGAGGTCAACCTCTCTGAGTAGTAACACTTGGGCAGAGACCTGAGTGAAGCTGAGGAAGGAGAAATGCAGGTATCTGGGAAAGAATTCTAGATAGAGGAACTAACAACTTTATTTTGACTTGGTATTGTATGTTTTGACTATGGTACAGCTTTTTCATTTTATAAAACACTTTCACATAGTCTTTTACTCCATAATCTAGTGCCTGTTCTTCACTTAAAAACATAACCCAATAGGAGGTGGCAGGTGCAAGGTAATATTTTCAAAGCATTTAATCAAGCAACAATATACTTGATTACTTGCAAGGAGAGAAAAGAAACTTTTAAAGTGTACGAGCTTTTGCAGAATCCCAGGGTCATGAGAGTTGAGACTAGGGTAGTGGGCAGTGAGAGTGGGAAAGAGAGAGTAAGTCTTGGTCAGACTCATTGGGTAGTAAGATACAGAAACCAGCCAAAGCTAAAGTAAAACCAAACCCATTGCTGTCAAGTCAGTTCCAACTCATGGTGACCCCCTTAGAGTTGTCATGTGGACATGTTTATTTCATAGAATCTAAGCCTCACTCCCTATTGTGCACTGGAAGGAGGACTTCCAAGTCATCAGGAACTAAGGCAGTTCTCCCTCTCAACTTCCCTGTAGAGTCTCATGGCCTCTCATTAGTGCTTCCTTTCATCCAACTGTTTAATTCTCTGCAAGCCCACTTTCTCAGCTTGGGGCAGAAGATGGCTGTCCCACAGGAAGTTATGTGTCCATCAGTTCATCCTGAAGACAGTGATAGCTCAGCTTGGGAAAGGTGTCCATCCTCGTTAGGGTTGCCAAATAAAATGCAGATAAAATACAGGATGTCAAGTTAAATTGGAATTTCATATATCCAACAAATACAATTGTAATATAAGTATATCCAATGCACTGTTTGGGTTATACTTATACCAAGAAATTTTATCCATGTATCTAAAATTCAAATTTAACTGTCCTGTATTTTTATTTGCTAAGTCTGGTAACACTGGACCTAGTCTAAACAGCTGTGATCAAGGAGTTTAGGGAGCAGAAGGAGGAATTAAAGTAACTCTATTAAAATTTTTTGATTTAGAGGTTACAAGATTTTCCTTGTAACCTCTATTAAAGAATGCCCAGTGTTTCATGAAAACCAAAAGTGAGTAGTTGGCTATAGTTTTCGATATTGTGGCTATGAAATTTAACGCCATTCCCAAGGACTCATAAATTAGGAAGAGGTGATGTTAAAAAAAAAAAAAAAAGGCATAAAAATATGTAAACCAATATTTATGAAAACAAAAATTTTTAATAAAGTGACAGAATAAAGCAGTTTATTAAAAAGATCAAACAGTATGACCAAGTTGATCTACTTGAAGAATGCAGGGATGCATAAGCATTAGGACATAATTCACTACAGGCGTACCTTGTTTTATTGCGCTCACAGATACTGCAGTTTTTTACAAATGGAAGGTTTGTGGCAGCCCTACATCCAGCAAGTCTATGGGCGCTGTTTTTCCAACAGCATGGGCTCCCTTCGTGTCTCTGTGTCACATTTTGGTAATTCTTATAATATTTCAAACTTTTTCATTACTATTATTATATCTGTTACAGTGATCAGTGATCTTTGATGTTACTATTATAATTGTTTTGGGGTGCCACGAACTGTGCCTACATAAGATGGCGAACTTAATAGATAAATATTGTGTGTGTTCTGACTGCTCCACCGACCAGCTGTCCCCCACAAGACAGGATGAAACTGAAATTAGGCCAGTTAATAACACTACAATGGCCTCCAAGTGTTCTAGTGAAAGGAAGAGTTGCATGTCTCTCACTTTAAATCAAAAGCTAGAAATGTTAATGAGGAAGACATGTCAAAAGCTGAGACAGGCGGAAAGCTAGGCCTCTTGCACCAGTTAGCCAAGTTATGAATGCAAAGGAAAAGTTGTTGAAGAAAATTAAAAGTGCCACTCCAGTGAACACATGAATGGTAAGAAAGCGAAACAGCCTTATTGGTGATACACAGAAAAGTTTTAGTGGTCTGGAATAGAAGATCCAACCAGCCATAACATTCCCTTAAGCCAAAGCCTAATCCAGAGCAAGGCCTAACTCTCTTCAGTTCTCCGAAGGCTGAGAGCGATGAGGCAGCTGCAGAAGAAAAGTTTGAAGCTAGCAGAGGTTGGTTCATGAGGCTTAAGGAAAGAGGCTGTCTTCATAACATAAAAGTGCAAGGGGAAGCAGCAAGTGCTGATGCAGACGCTGCAGCAAGTCATCCAAAAGATTTATCTAATTGATGAAGGTGGCTACAGTAACAGATTTTCAGTGTAGACAACACTGCCTAATGCTGGAAGAAGATGCCATCTAGGACTTTCATAGCTAGAGAGAAGTCAGTGCCTGGCTTCACAGGACAGGCTAACTCTCTTGTTAGAGGCTAATGC